AAGTGGCCCGCGATCGATATGCCCTTTTCCGAGTCCGGCATGCAGCCCGACATCATCATCAACCCTCACGCTTTCCCCTCCCGAATGACAATCGGCATGTTTGTCGAGTCGCTGGCTGGTAAGGCTGGCGCCCTGCATGGCCTCGCCCAGGACGCGACCCCCTTCAAGTTCAACGAGGAGAACACGGCCGCGGAGTACTTTGGGCACCAGCTCATGAAGGCCGGATACAACTATCACGGCAACGAGCCCATGTACTCTGGTGTCACCGGCGAGGAGCTGGGCGCGGACATCTACATTGGACTCGTCTACTACCAGCGCCTGAGACACATGGTCAACGACAAGTACCAGGTCAGAACGACCGGACCCATCGTCCCCACGACCGGCCAGCCAATCAAGGGAAGAAAGCGCGGTGGCGGTATCCGCGTGGGAGAGATGGAGCGCGACGCCCTCCTCGCCCACGGGACCGCGTTCCTGCTCCAGGACAGGCTGCTCAACTGCTCCGACTACGCCAAGTCGTGGATCTGCCGCAGGTGCGGGTCCTTCCTGTCCGTGCAGCCGACCGTGTCGCAGTTCGCCCCCGGGAAGAAGAAGGCGCCCAGCATCGTGCGCTGCCGCAACTGCGCCGTGAAGCTCGACGACAGCGAGGGCATCGACCTCACCGAGGTGCAGGGGGAGATCTGGGAGGACGGCCAGGGCAACTCGTGGGTCGGCGGCGACCAGACCACGCAGGTGGTGGTGCCCGGCGCGCTCAAGTACCTGGACGTCGAGCTGGCCGCCATGGGGGTGAAGCTCAAGTACCGGTTGGACCGGGGAGACGAGCCTCGCAAGGGCCCGATGCGACCTGCCTCGGCGCCGGCCATCCCAGTGGCGTAATGGGTGTCGTGGTAGACGGGAGAAAAATTTGGTTAGGGCAAGCTTTTATCCCTTCTTTTTTTTTTTTTTTGCTTAGATTCTTGTGGAATGGGGAGTTGAATGTGTATATTTTGTGAAAATTGGTACTGCTTGTAGTTGATACCATTTATATGATCTATGATATTGGAAGAATGTTCCCTCATTAATGCCGGGTCTGGCCTACTCCATTACCGTTTGTTTTTTCTACTCAATCTCTCTCATAGTTCCCTCATTACAAGTCGTACGAAGTGATGCCAGGCACAGTTCAAGCCAGGTATTCTTCGGCTCAGCGTGCCGGGCGTGAAATTAACGGTCGCCTCGGGAAGCCAATGGTTTTCGTCTGAACTGCTGGGTGGCACTCGCAAGGCGAGCCGGTTCCAGTTGGAGACCCGGTGCTCGATAATGAAGCCACCGAGTAGCACGAGTGAAACCCACCCGACATGCTCGCTTTGTCGGCGAGCTGGGGGCGTTTAGATACTACCCTCCTTGAAAGCTCAATATCCGAGATGCTGCTGCTGGATAAGGATGATGACGCAATTCTCTCCTCCCTACCGAGAGAATATTCGTTATCAATGGATGAGGGCAGGCAGGTGCGTGGCCTGCGGGTGCGGGAAGGACCTGGTCTCGAGTCGACTGCTCCTTCTCCATCGGCACGATCATAATTGATAGCCGAGTTCCGTGACGACGCTCATAAGGCGAAGGAATAATCTACTACATCTACTTACCTCAACTCACCTGCTACCTGCTTGCACGAGGGAAGGCCAAGTGACTGGGCCGAGTGTCCTCCGAGCAGCAGGCAGATCGACTCAAATACCGCCCAGATTCTTGCCGAGCAGCACTCGCCTCAGCTTTCCATCACCCACACTTCGCCTACTAGGTGTTTCTTGATCTTTCAACTTGGCCTCTTGGATTCATTTTCCTCTCTTCTCCCTACTTTCGCTCTGCCATAGGCTTCTCGATCTTGGTTTCTTTCCCTCTTGGCCAGCCTGATTCTCCCACGGCCTTCTTCATCTTCTGCCTCGAGACAACAAGAGCGGTGTGATATTCAACCTCCTCATTGGAAAAAGATTGTCCTTCCGCTTTCCTTGAAATTTCTTTTGGTTGGCTTTTGTGAGTTTTTACCTTGACTATCAATGCTAGAATGATCAAGTACCAATTCACTTTATCCAGCTTCGACCAGCCTCCCGAATTGGCTGGAATACCACACCTCGACATCGCCGTTCCGAATCGATCGATTCCGAAATCACACAGGTCCGGTGCAACCTAATACGACATCCAAATATCTCCTTGCCTGAAAGTCGCCAACCATGCACATCCCTAGTCTCCTCGGGGCCATCCTGCTCGCCTCCGTACTTGCTCTAGGTCGACCCTACGACTTTGGCGTGGATGTCGAAAGTCTCACCCGACGCCAGGAAGACCGGATCTTGGTTGGCCGGCTTCCACTTGCTTCTAATGGAAGCGTTCCACATCGTCTCGAAATACGCCAAATGAGAGCCGATCCATATAAATGGGACTTGTTCATCCTGGCTCTGAGTATGTTTCAGTCAGTCAGTCAGAGCGATCCCCTTTCATGGTACCAGGTCGCCGGTATGTGAGACTATTCTGCTTTTCCCCGGTAATTACACTCTTTCTCATCATGATATATATGACCAGGAATCCACGGCGTGCCATTTCGGAGTTGGAATGGGGTTGAGCCAGTCCCGGGCGCCAACATGTCGGGCTACTGCACCCACAGTTCAGTTTTGTTTCCAATTTGGCACAGGCCATACTTGGCGCTGGTCGAGGTGAGAGATCTCATAGTCTTTGGTAAAATGCGAGTCTAACAATACATGAAGCAAGAGGTCTTCAGACTGGCAAACTTCATCGCCAGCATGTTCACAAACACTACCGAGCGGGAGATATACCAGCGAGCAGCATCGGACATTCGATTCCCTTACTGGGACTGGTCTCTTCCTGCGCCACCCGAACAGACTCATCTCCCAGATGTATTCTGGCATCCTACAATCACGCAATATGGCCCCATGGGGCTTCAGACGATCAGAAACCCCCTGTATTCCTACATTTTCAACCCTGTCGAGGAGGACGCATTTATATGGAGCCCAGTAAGCAATACACAGAATCCAGCTGGTGAAACACTTAAGCTAACGAGCATAGCTCAACTCCTGGCAAGAGACCAAGAGAGCGCCGGCGACCGATATTAGTCTTGCATCTCCTCCATCAATGAACAAGGATGTGAGTGAAGCACTGCTAGGGAAGCTTTCTGAAATCCAGCAGAGGCTGTATATCATATTTTCGAACTACAAAGACTTCAATTCCTTTGGCAACAAGGCTTGGGCCGTATCACAAAACTTGTCGTCCTGGGACTCGATTGAAGCAATCCACGATATCATCCACATCTATGGCGGCCTTAGAGGCCATATGACATACGTTCCGCTATCTGCGTTTGATCCCCTGTTTTTTATTCATCATGTGTCTATGGATCGACTCATAGCCATGTGGCAGGTTCTCAACCCCAACGCGTGGATTCTCCCGATGGCGACTGGAGAGACAAGCTACAACAGTTTGAAAGGAATGGTTCAAAATTCCAAAACGCCCCTGACTCCATTTTACATATCACCAGACGGAACTTTCTGGGACTCAGACATGGCTCGATACACTCATACATTCGGCTATACCTACGCAGATGTGGACCCTAACCTGGCTGGCAACGAAGGATTGCGTGAAAGCCTGATCAGAAAGATAAATATTTGGTATGGAAGCTCTAGCCCGATCAACTTGCGTTTCATGGCAAAAGGGCACGACAACTTCGTTAATCACCACAGGAACACTATTCCTAAGCCTATAGGGACCAAGGGCACGAAATCAGAAGCAACTAATCATTCGAAACGAGGGAATACCTTGTCCAGTGCTTTGATCAAAGGAGACCGCTACAATGAGTGGATTGTGAACGTTCATGCCAATATGGAGGCTCTCCATGGCTCCTACGCGGTTCATCTCTACCTCAACGACAAGCCTCATTTAAACTGTCGTACAATAATAGAAAACAAGGTTGGAACTGTCGACATTTTTACAATGCGGAAAATGACTGGCTCGAATACCAAAATCTCGGGAGCGGTTCCTCTAACGAGCTCACTGCTGGGAAAGGTAGCAAGCGGTGACATCCCCCATCTCGGTGCGAGTGCAGTCGTCCCATTTCTCCAGAAAAAGCTGAGATTTCAAGTGCGCAATGGCGATGGCAACGTGGTCGACCCAAACCTTGTGGAAGGACTTTACGTTGGGGTCAGCAGCACCGAGGTAAAAATCCCAGCTGTAGATACCGAGCTTCCGAGATGGGGGCGGTCAGTGGCGAGGCTCAATCTGTGGTTTGAAAAGGGCGCGGTAGGATTGCCAAAGCCCAAGTATTCTGTTTAATTTTTAGCTTTCTTTTTTTGGGAGCATTTTATTTTCCAATATCCAGGGAGGGGAAGTAAGTAATGAGGAAGGGGGGGGGGGGTCCTGCGTGAGATTTTCGATGATACTGAATAAATATAGGCACATCATTTATAATTACGGCAATAGACATTTCATTATCCAGGTTTCTTACTTTTTCCATAACCGCAATCAACGTTAGATATTCTTTTTCCCCGCAAAAATATCTTGAGCCTCAATCCTTGTTGCCTTTAAAGGGATGTTCTTGCTTCCATTACCTTGAGTCTAGCTACTCGAAATTTTGAATGGTTGATGCTCTCTCCTGTTTTGCGTTATACTCGTAAAGGGATGGCTCAGGATATGAGATTGAGATCTAAATAAGGCCGTCCAAGATCAGTATATATATTTCACTTGTCCCTCACTGTACGATAGTATCACACGACAAAGGACGAGACAAATTTGCCCAGCTTTGATGACCAGAAAATAAGGGTTTGATACATTCTGATTGTAAAATTACAGAGAGAAGCAAGTAAAGAATAATCTGTTTCGTTTCCCCAACATATCCCGCATCCTTTTTTCCCCAAGATGAGCATAGTATCCTTCACCACGGAAGAGCTCAAAAGGTAGGTGGCACAAATCAGTAAGCCAACCTGTCGTCCGTTCTCTTCCTCTCGTGTTCTCAGCTTCGGGCGTTCGTCATCTTAGTATCTTCCACCGCGGCCGGCAGCACCGGACGACTTTGCTCCGGCACCGGATGCCTTTGCTCCAGCTTTGGGGGACTTTGCTGCGGCATTGGACGATTTTGCACTGGCACCAGATGACGCTGCTCCGGCACCGGATGCAGCACCTCGAGCAGCACCTCTTCCTCCATTGGCCCTGACTTGGAGATCAAAGTCATGGATGTCACGCTTGCCGCGGTTGCCACCAAAATGCTTTGGGGGAATGCCAGGTCTTCCACTTCCTCGCCTCACCTGAAGGTAGCCGACACCACGCTTACCACGGTTGCCGCCAACATGCTTTGGGGGAATACCAGGTCTTCCACTTCCTCGCCTCACCTGAAGGTAGCCGACATCACGCTTACCGCGGCTACCACTAACTGGCCTTGGGCGAGAACCTTTGCCACCATGTTCTCGCCTCAGCTGAAGGTAGCCGACGTCACGCTTGCCGCGGTTGCCACCACCTGACCTTGGGGGAGCACCTTTGGCACCGGCTCGCCTCACCTCAAGGTCATCGAGATCTCTCTCGTCCACGAACTGGTCGGCGTCGTCTCTCTCCTCGAGATCTCGGGCGTCTCGAAGGGCGAGGAAAGGGGCGGATTCCTCGGTGCTGGCGACGGCGAGGGTCGCCGCAGCAGCGACGAGGACGGTTGAGAAACGCATGTTGAAGAGCGAAGAACGAGAGAGTGAGTGTTTGTAGAGTGTGATGTTGGAATGTGTGAGGGAGGGCTCGCGCAAAGGGAGTGAGGACTTGGGCTCAGGTGTGTCCCAGATACGATAAAAGTAGACTGAGAGACAGGAATGGGGATGTATTGAAGATTGTTTTGTATGTTCTGGTGGATGTGTCTGGTGGCTTTCTTCCTCAAGCCCAGAGATCCAGACGTCTCTTTATACTTGAAAAGTGGTAAAATATCGAGCTATTATTAGCCACATCGTCCATGGTCTATGCCTCATTTGAAATCGTATCATCATCATAGACCAAGATTGTGAGCCGAATGGCGTTGGTTTCATTGGCGACAGGCTCCTCAAGCATAAGGAACTTCAGTAGCCGAGTTCCTGGATCTCCCCGAAGGCGCAATATGCCGGCAGTTTCAGGGGAAGGGCTACCACATCCGGCTAAATCTTTGTAAATAGCAGCTTTGCTAACCATGATGATACCTTCCACCAGAGACGGATCAAACTAGATTGTGGACGGCTAGTACCTGTTGCCACTCGCCATGAGACAGTGCAAACTCATCGATTTGTCATTATCAATGAGGACGAGGCTCTGTACCGATAGCCCACGGGCGTATTCAGATCAAACATGTCCTAAAAATGGAGTTGGGGGATAAAACCATCGTTAGTTCAGCATCAACGCCGTAGATAACTGAAGATCCAAGGTAGCCAGGAGCAAGCTCGGCCTCTTGTCTAACTAAACATTATACCTTCCTACATAAGTCAGATCCCTGCTAGCGCTAACACAATACCTATTCAGGTCATTGACGGATTTGATGACGGTGCCGTTGGAATAGCCCGTTCAGGAAACAGTCGGCTAGAAGAAGACTTGACATGGTTGCACGCGCAGGACCCAAAAGCTTCTCCCCAGGATTTGATGCACCGGATGACGGCAGTCTTGTCAGCACTACCACTAACAAACCCGCGCGCGTGGGAGCCACACCAGGGATCCCTACAAGGAGATGGGTTAAATTAAGTGGCGGCCTCGCAAATACCGAAGTTCATTTGACCGCGTTAGGTGGGATGGGCCGCATCGAGGCATCTTCGAGGGCCAAAAAGATGGTCATGCGCGTATAGCTAAACAGCACAAGATGGATGACTGTGTTAGTCGCTGGGGGGAAGAGTGAAGCCCATAAAGTCCGAAGAAGGCTAACTCTTCCGGATGCGAGATATAGGGATAAAAGGCCGCTTTGCGTCCTAAACATTCATGTTTGTTTCCTCCCAAAGAAGGGTCTTGATAACATTGATCTGGTTCTGTCGCTTGGCTTGGCTGATCCAGGTCGGGCCGCCGCCAAGGATTCATGTTACTCTCGCAATCAGACGAATAAAGAAATACAAGTACTTTCGACGAATCGCATTCTTGCGACCAGAGAGCTACACAGCCACAAAGCGTGTACCATGTCATGTTCAAGCTTCACGATGGAGTCAAGTTCCTACACGGCAGGCACGATTAGATAGGCCAGACCCGCTTTTTTTACATCTTCATCGGCAGCTGTTAAAGCGCCGGCAGTTTCCGGTATAGCCCCACCCATCCCCTAAGCTCCAGCGCTTGTGCCAGCAGTGTTATCACTGAGAGAATGGATTGCCCCGCCCCCGCAGCAGTCACATAGCAGCCACCAGCCAACTGGCCTCGGACTGTACCAATGTACCTATTCACATGCACCTCCTGACCTCAGTTGGAGATATCTCCTCCCTTCTCTAATCAACCCTTGAGCGCTTCTACCTCTGCATGCCGCCAGGCCCCCGTATCCAGCATTGCCCTATCTCATCATAGCACCTCCTGTATACCTGCGCAACACTCTGTCTTTGCCTCTCGACCCTTCTATATCGCTACCTCCGCCGATGAACCCTTAATTGAGCGTTCCCCTCTCTCACCTGACTGACGACACCCACCACCACAACCGCCATTCACTCATCGCCCGAACCACCATGGCGACTCTCACCGACGATCCCGCCCTCTATATCTTCACCTCCCTCACCGCAGGGTCCTCCCACATCGTCACCGCCACTTCCCGCCTCGAGACGATCCTGCGTGCCAACCGCGTGCCCTTCAAGGCCATCGACATCGCAACCGACCAGAAGGCCCGCATGCTATGGGGCCGTCGCGCCGGCAAAGATGGGAACGGCCGAGTGCGCAAGCTGCCCGGCCTGGTGCAGGAGGGCATGGTCCTAGGGGTAACTGAACACCTATTCGGCAACGATATACTTGGAGGCTGACCAGGGCGAAACTCTCTCACAGGACATTGTCGAGATCGAAGAGTGGAATGAGTACCACGAGCTCAAGCAACACCTCAAGATCTACTACGACGAGAACACGATACCCAACATCAACAACAAATACCCTCCGCCCAAGATGCGACGGCCGTACGGGGTGGGGGCTCCCGTCAAGAAACCTGCCGGTTCGGCCGCTGCTGCTGCCGGTGCTGCTGCTGCGGCGGCGGCGGCGGCATCTGCTGCCTCATCCTCCTCCACGCCAGCTCCGTCGGCGGGCACTCCGGCGCCGCCACCCCCTGGACCAGCACCCGCACCTAAGAAGACGAACCCTGTTGTCCTAAAAGCGTCGGAGGGCAAGCAGGAAACTCTTCCCGTCCGATCTGTCGCCGACGAAGCAGCAGCAAAGGCTAAGGAAATGCGCCTGAAGAGTCTGCGAGAGAAGGTTCATGGGAAGAAGGCCGCCGAGCCATCTGCCGAGTCCAAGGAGAAGAAAGAGGACAAGGAAGTAAAGGACGATAAAGATGAGAAGAAGGCCGAAGACGAGAAGGAGAAGGAAGACGAAGAGAAGGAAGAGAAGGAAGACGAAACAACAGAGGACCACAAGAACATCGGGCTCCAATCACCTACGAGCGGCAAGCGGAAGTCTGATGAGTCGGCGTCGGCCAAGACTGGCGATGTGCAAAGCCCGGAGAGCACAGGGAAGAACGCCAAGGTGGTAGATTCGTCGCCGATAGCCAGCAAGGGGGTTGAGGCCAAGGACGGCACAAAGGAAGAGGATGACGACGACGATGACGAAGATGAAGATGAAGACACTGAGGACAGTGAGGACAGTGAGGAAGATGAGGACACAGACGACGATGATGAAGATGAGGAAGAAGATGAGAAGAAGGATGCGGCAGTGAAGGATACCCCAGCCGAGGCCGCCAAGGCAGACGAGAAGGTGGAAGAGATAGCCAAGAAGGATGACGACAAGAAGGACGATAAGAAGGATAAAAAGAAGGACAAGAAGAGTCACGACAAGAAGGATAAGAAGCACCACCACGACAAGAAAGACAAAAAGGAGAAGAAGGATAAAGACAAAGACAAGGAGAAGGAGAAGGACAAGAAATCTCACGACAAGAAGAGCCACAGCAAGGGTCACGACAAGAGCCATGACAAGAAGAGTCACAGCAAAACCCATGATAAGAGTCACGACAAGAAGACGCACGACAAGAAGAGCCATGACAAGAAGGACAAGGAAGAAAGCAAGCACCCCAAGACCGAGGAAGCGGCAGAGTCCTCGTCGAAATAAACCCAGCGAGGAGTGTTTGATATTAGTACTGCTCTACATATGTACCACTTTAGACCTGTTACCCTTGAATGAAATCTCAAAAAAAAAAAAAAAGACAGTATGTATGTATATGCCGAAAATGTCTCCCTTTTCCCTCTCACCCGGTTTATATAGGCAAAACCCATCCATAGTAGTACAGTGGGATGAAAAGTATATAATGTATAGATCGTAAGAATCCTTCTAGTACAGCCCCTCATCGTCGCTCGCCGTCCCCTCCTGGAACCCGGCGGCGGCAGCCCTCCCCTTCCCCTTGTCCCTCCGCAGCGTCCACCCGTCATCATCGCCGTCCTCCGCTACGGCCTTGCCCTTGCCCTTTGCGGCAGCAGATGACGAAGACGACTGCTTCTTCTGCGCGTCGCTACCCTCGAACGTGGCCCTCACCCTCTCGTAGTGCTGCAGCTCGCCCTGGCTGACGCTAGGCACGAGCTCCTCCTGGGCGGCGGAGAAGTCGGGCTCGGTGACGACGACGGCGAGGTCGGACGGGCTAGCGTGGTGGTCGAAGAAGTAGGCGGTGGACATGTCGCCGCCGAGCTGGCGGATCTTGGCGTCGACGAGGTTGGCCTGGCGGGTGACGGCCTTGAGCATGGCGTCGCTGCAGAGGGCGTAGAAGTCGGCGCCCGTGTAGGTGAGGGGGAGGCGGTCCGCGACGGATTTGAGGGAGAGTGCTGGGTCGAGGGCGAATCTATTTAGACGTGTTAGTAAGAATGATCACATGTGTCAGAGGGTAGGAAGGGGATACATACTTGCGTGTGAGCGCCTGCAAGATGGTGAGCTGCTTCTCATGGGTATCAGAAACACCCAGGTAGAGCATCTTGTCGAACCTCCCCGGCCGCAGCAGCGCCGGGTCGAGCAGGTCAGGCCGGTTGGTCGCGCCGATGACGAAGACGCCGCCGCTGTCGCCGTCGCCGCCCGACATGCCGTCGAGCTCCGCCAGCAGCTGGGATACGATGCGGTCCATGACGCCGCCGCTGTCCCCCTGGTTGCCGCGCTTGGGGGCCACCGAGTCCAGCTCGTCGAAGAAGACGACGCAGGGCCTCGCGTCGCGGGCGCGCTGGAAGACGCGGCGCACGTTGGCCTCCGATTCACCGATGTACATGTTAAGGAGCTCGGGGCCCTTGACGCTAAAGAAGTTGAGGCTGTACTCGGTGGCGATGGCCTTGGCGAGCAGGGTCTTTCCGGTGCCAGGGGGACCGTAGAACAGGATGCCGGATCGCTTCTTCATGCCGCGGGCGAAGAGCTCGGGGCGCTCGAGGGGCAGCTGGATGGTCTCGGTGATGGCGTCCTTGACGTTGGAGAGACCGCCGACGTCGTCCCATGTGACGTTGGGGATCTTGGGCGCGCCGATCGAGTCTGAGAAGTTCTTGCGGGCGGCTTCGACTGCTGCGTCGAGGTCGCCCTTGGTGAGGCAGAGCGCCGCAGGTCCGCCCGCGACTTGGACGTCTCGGACGGTCACAGCAGGCTCGTCGGGAGACAACTCTGAGGCGGAGGTGGCCAAGGCTTCGAGGCGAGATTGCTGGGCAGCCGAGGCCCGGTCTACTACGTCTACCAAATCACCGGCCACGAGAGCAGCAGTCTTGAGGGCAATCGCATTCAGATCGATGCTTGGCTCGAGGCTCAGACCCCTGTTCTCCAGAATGTTGCGCAGTATGGCCTCACGCTCGCCCTCGTCGGGGGCGTTCATCTCCAGCTCATGCGTGAATAGTCCTCGCACACCATCGGGAACCTTGTCGACTTCGTTTGTCGTCGCAATAAGGACTCTTGTATCGTTAAGCACCTCCTTCATCGTCGCCTCAATTCGGTCTGCGGTCAATGCCTCGATGTGCTGGATAAGCAAACCGCAGCAGTCCGGGCCGCAGCTCATAGCCCGCTCAGCGCGAGTACGAAGGAAGCCTTCCGTCTTCACATCGCTTCCACTGCCACCACCCTCACTCAGGATATCGTAAGCGTCAATGGTGAATGTGTGAAGACCAATGTCCGAGCATGCCGCCGCCGCCAGCGTCGCCTTTCCAATATGTCTGTGGGTGGAAGTCAGGAGGATAGCGACAGGAGGCATCTTGAGGTGAATAGCCCTCTGGCTCGTTGCTGCAGCCAATAACTGCCGCAGCTGGTGCCTGAGAGGAGACACATGGCTTTGCTCCTCCTGAGCTGAGGGTAGCGGAATCGCTGGTCCATCAGCATCCCGCCTGGGGGTCTTCTTCAGACCGAGGTAGTAAGGCCAGGTGCTCCCCTTGGTACCGGGGATGCGACTCGTCTGAAAGCCAGATCCGTGCATACCCACAGACGAGCTGTCAATGCAAGCAACCGAGCCCCAGAGACTCTCGGCCGTCCCATCTTCATCCTCGTCAGCCTTGTTGATCTGGATACTGCCAACCTTGAACCACGCCACATTGTCAAAGCTCGACGGCTCCTGGCTACCAGGCTTGCCCGTCAGAGCAACGACATCATCCACTTCAGAGCCTCCTCCGATCGTTTCCTGTAAAGCCCGGCCAAGCTGAGCATCTACAGGTACTCCGATAAGGTCACCGGACCGTACCAGTCTAGTCTTGGAAGCAAAGAAATGCTTCAATCCGCCCAAGACTGCCGTCTGGTACGCCCTCTCCGCAGAGATTGGCGTCCGCACGTGGTGGATGGTAATCTCCCGGGCATATGGGGGGCGGGAGGCACTCGTAAATCTCGGCAGCGTCCCCTTACCCAGGTAGGATGACTTCTTCCGCAGCGGCGCAATCCGGAGGTACTTGGCCTCATCCAAGTTGGCCAGTAGAATGGGGGACGCGTACGCCGTCGGGCTCGGCGTCGGCTGCACCTGAGAGTCGAAGAACGAGAGCCTCCTCTCTCCCATCTTCGAGCTCGGTATCCTCGTCATCGGGCGCTGCGCGTAGCTTTCCGGGAGGCCGTAGACGCGGACTGGTCGCCAGTTCCCAGGGGCCTCCGAGTTCAGCTGGCCGAAGCTCCCCAACCCGAATGCTCCAAAGCCGTTGACGGGGGGTTCCTCGGCAGCTTCGATACGAACCCAATCACCTGAGAAACAACCAATCTTAGACAGTGAGGATACATGGACGTAGACGCGAGCCTCGTCGTCGTCCTCTGGCGCGGGCTTGGGATGTAAAGAGTCTGCCGGCATGGGCCCAAGTAGCCCCTGCGCCTTGAACAGTCGCCCCCTAGGCCTATCAGGCCGTGCCGTAGTCGCCGTCATGTTGGAGAAGACGGAGCCGGGCGTCGACACACCATTGGTCTTGCGCCCCCTGAGCGTGCCCACGGTCATGGGCGTGCCAGCCTGGAGTGTGGAAACACCGCTGGCAGCAGAGGTGGGGAGCGTAGGCGCCTGCAGAGATATCATGTCGTCCATGGAATCGTCCGAGAGGTTGTCGTCGTCCTCGTCCCGGTCCGTGTCTGACAGATCCGTCTCCGTCTCGGTGCCAGTCTCCGTCTCCTCCCCGCCAGGCGCATCAGACCGATCGCGCTCCTCGGCCGCGGAGAAGAACTGGTCCGTGTTCCCGCCGTCGTCGTCCTCGCTCGCTTGGCGGTTGACGGTGATGGAGGGCGTCGAGATCCTCGGGCGCTTCCCCTGGTGGCCCCCGCGTCCCCGCATGAGAACGATCTTGGTCGTGTCGGCCAAGACACCCTGCGCCACAGGCTCGCACAGCATGATCCGCCCGGGGCTCGGGGGCACGTGGGTGACGGGGTGCGGAGGCAGCGGCAGGGGGAACAGGTCCTCGGCGTGGACGATCTTGAGGCTGCTCAACGCATACCGCAGCGCCGAGGCGAGCTTCTCGTCCGCCGTGGCCGAACCTTTGGCCCCCCGCCCGGCGGCCGTGGGATGGTCGCGGTAGAAGGTGCCCTCGCCGGCCTCCAGGCGCCGCGTCAGGTCGCCCTCGATGTTGACGTACACGGTGTCGAGGCGGATGGGGGCTGCGTCGAGGACCAGCACGTCGAGGCCGCTCCGATGACCGGCCAGCTTGGAGGGGGCGAGACGCTGCAGGGAGACGGCGAATCGCTGCAGGCACGACGACGAGGGGGAGAAGTATACGGTCGAGGTCGCGCCCAGGGTCGTGGAGCGAGTCACGGGGACGAGGGACCAAGGAGCGCCGGTCGCTGAGGCTTGCGGAGTCCATGGCGCGAGGGCAATATGGGCTACTTCGGTGCTCGAGTCTGCGTCTGTTGCTGCTGCTGCGCGGTCAAAGGTCAGCTACCATGAGGTGAAAAGGAGCGTCAAGATTCGAGAATAGTTGTCCCTTACCTTGGTTGGGGAACAGCTCGCGGAACAGGTCGTCTGAGAGGAGACCTACGTCTCCTCGGATCTGGTCGTCCAGGACCAGCCGTGCTGCGACTGGTGGTTTGTCGGTGCGACGACGGCGCCGTCGCCTCCGACTAAGTGCTGCGCTGGCCATTGCCAGTGATCAATGAGGCTGCTGTACGCCCCTCCGGTCGAGTGAGTGCTGGTGGTTTGCAGAGTCGTTGCGAGGGGAGAGCGGACGGCTTGTGAGAAAAGAGCTTGGACCCTTTTGGTGGTGCGAACCCTCGGCCAAGTATCTGGGCGGATCGGTCGACGCTCCGAACCAGCAGCTGAGGAGCCAATGCCGGTCACCAAGGGGCTGGCTGTCTTGTGTATCTGCCCGCGATGCTGGACGGCCCTTCACATTGCCGAATTAGTAGGAACCTGGGGAAGCAGCGCAGAAATGAGTTGGAGAAGTGACAAAGACAGACTGGTTCACATGGGCCAGTGACATTATGCAGCACGCTGCTAAACCTGATGGTTGCCATCGGGGGTTGGAGCTCTGCTGCTTGGGGGAAATCTGGGGCTCGGCTCGGACCCCTGCACAAGCCTCGGCAAGCAGAACAAGCATGGACCCCAACTGAGGCATCACAGAGTCGGCCGGGTAGGATTTGCCTGCCTGGCGACGGATTTCGTTTCCGGGCTTGGGCTCGATATAATCACTTCACTTGTTCGCGGTTCTCTCATC